TTGAATCCCGACAAGTTCACACTCTTAAATAAATTGTGGCCCATAAGTTACGGCAGCTTCTGTCTTCGAAAGAGCATCAATGAAGCATTCACTACCGACGAACCAGGCCCATGTTAGCCGCGTCTTTAAGGCAAGGCCCTCACGCAGCGTCAGTGCTAAATTATTTTTGTGGGTCTAGGTTGATCCCCTCAGACTTCTGAAAACCAATCAGGGAAGTCATTACCACTGCCTCGCATCTCTGTTTGGACCAAACGTCTCCAGATCGATGGGCCACCGCACGCGATGTCGCCCTAGTTTGAGAACAATATCGTGGCCGAACCCAGGCAGTCATAGTAATAGGACGTAATGGTGAAACGGCTATCGAAATCCCCGGTGCCCGCTCTCGCCCCTTTCCATGCTAATACGCTTGGCTGACATTAACAGGGGCACAGTTGGCAAAATAAATTGGGCTGAGCAGTGAAAAATGACGAAACCTTGACACAAAATATCCCGGCAAACGGTAGTATCTTCGGATTTCATCACTTTTTTTCTCAAAGGAGGGTGATGGGAGAGACTGAAGGTCACCCATATGAGTAAGAAGTAGAGGAATGTTCCTTTTTTCGGCCAAACGCACGCCCGTTGCTTTCGAAAAGCGTTTGAAGTAGTTTGAAGTAGTCCAGCTTATCTGTAGCCAACATCCTTGTATCTTAAATTGTTTAGCATTTGCCATGCATTCCAGATTTAGACGGCTGCTGACAGCTTTAATGAGGCAAACACCGCGAAAATCAAATGTATTTGAGTTATCCCTTTTATAATTACTCGCCATATCTTTCGAACGCATCTACAGGCTCACACTGGCGGATCACCTGATCCATGCTGGCTGGTGGGAAGCGGCAAGCAGGATCCGAATGCAATAACACGCAGCAAAGGGGGGGGGGGGATCAGTGTGAAGCAGTCTGAGGTTACTGTCTCAGGTAAGAGGTTAGGACATGATGTTGGAGCTCACAACACAAGCTTATCCCACGTAGGCGTTACGCATGCTTCTGACATTCCTTACACATGTGAACAGCTGGCTGTTCACGACATTAGGGACTAGGTATACCGCTCACACTTATACACTGCTGTCTTTATATGTTTCCATGAATGCAATTGGACGCTAAGTAAATGATAGACATCCTGAATGCCGCCATTGTCTTCCCGTTTAATCGCTTTCAAACAGTCTGAGATCTCGGTATTCAGTCCGTGATCCCAAACACAAGCACCGGTTTTCCTGCCGTCATTAGCTTCCGCAGCTGTTGCAAAGCCCGTTATCACAATCAGCTGGCGTTGAGCACCACTGTACCATGGAGCGTGCCAAGGCGCTTGCGTGACCAGGTTTTGACGCCCGCCGTTGATAGCATCCGTCGTTCGGCTTCTGATCACGACCGCTCTAGCCTCTGAGCATCGCCGCGGTGTACGACCGCTCTAGCCTCTGAGCGTCGCCGCTGTGCACGTGAGCTCATGACGCCACTTCGGCGCCGGCGTCGCCCGTAACCGTCGCCGCTGTGTATGCGCGTTCATGACGCCACCTCGGCGCCGGCGTCGCCGCTGTGTACGACCGCTCTAGCCTCTGAGCGTCGCCGCTGTGCACGTAAGCTCATGACGCCACCTCGGCGCCGGCGTCGCCCGTCAGCGCCGCCGCTGTGTACGCGCGCTCATGACGCCACCTCGGCGCCAGCGTCGCCCGTCAGCACCGTAACGCCCTCCAATCAATAGCAAGCATCGACGCCGCCCACTTAGCCGCGCCACTACACATCCAGGTGTTAGCCGTGCCGGCGCCATCACGAACTCGGCACGGAGCTGGTGCCGAGCGGTGAGCTATGTCGGCGGAGCGCGCCGCCACTGTGCTGCACAGACTGCTCGGACACCGGCGCAAAAAAGCGGCCTGCAGTCTTCCATTGCGCAGCTCCGTGAGATATCTAACTCTCGGTTCCGGCAAAATGCGACGAATTTAATTGCATGGAAACAGTTTTGGTTTAAGCTTTGTGTGCGCGCTTGCATTCGTTGACGTTTATATTCACACTTGATGAGCCATTTTGACATGCGTCTGACGAATCAAATCGCAGGAACCACATCGTCCCACTGCGCGGTTGACCTCACATGCATGTTTCAAGTCAGGAGACAGCGTATCCAACCCATCCTTGTGTCGTGCGCGTCAGCTGGCGGTACACAGTGGCGGATCCAAGATTGTGCGGTCACATAAACGATTAAGATCGAGTGGTCACATAAACGTGATCAAGCGGTCACATAAACGTGATCAAGTGGTCACATAAACGTGAAAGCGAAAGAGAGCCGACGTAAATGCCATCTCCTTTGATTGAAGTCTTACACATATGCACACTTTCTACCATTTGTTCAATTATTCCTTCCAATTTCGTGTTGCTTAAACAACTGGATTAACTCCAATGATATCGATAGTGCAAGACTATCCAGCTGCTGAACAAATCAGCGGCATTACGGGATGGAATACTATGTTACAACCCTTGGTATATTCTAAGCAATATTCCAACGATTTGATCAGGCGATGTGGTCCCGTCCAGCGTACCCCGAGCAGATGTGAAAACCCAGGCGCGAAAACGGTCTTTTCCCATTAGTCCTCCAACGGATTTCCGCCCTTCGTGTCGCCTTGGGCGGGTGGTGTTGAGTGGGTGTGTAAATTTGTTTTGCTTCAAAGTTCGGGTAGACCCTTATGGAATGGCACATGCTTCCAAATACGGTATCACATGAATAGCTATGCTGAATTACACATGAACAGCATTTGCATGCTACAAACCACTTCTCATTGAATAAAAAGCTCTCGCCACCGTAGGCCATCAAAGTTTGAAATCATCGACATTTGCCTCAAAATGTTAATTTCGAGATTGAAATCCCTGGCAGCTTAAGGTCATCTAAGCTCGACACCATCAAACCACGAATGGAAAAGTTCAAAGTTCGGGACCATACAAACATGGCTTAAAAATGCAGCGGATGTCTGGATAGAGGCTGAATGTCTGCACCTGACACGAGCTCGACGGCCTTTGAGATTGCATTAAAATTCAACTCGGGCAAAGTTGGACGGCAGTGGTTGTTGCCCCGTTTGCGATGACCTTCAACCTTACCTTTATTTGATGACGTCTGGATGACAGAGTTGACAGGACTGTTGCGAATTATTTTTTAGCAAATTTTGAAAAAAGTCTGTTTTTTATTGCCATTAATCTCATGAACTCTGCAGAACAGGGTTTCCGAATGTTGACAATAAAAAAGTTTGTGGAAAAGCGCTCCGTCAAAATTTAAAGATTTCTTGGCGGGCCGGTTTTCAAACCTGAGAGTTTGGACGACGTCTGGAGGCCAAGGTTTAGATGAAGAGGAACATGGTTTGTGCCACGGAAATGGGATTGTCAAGAAGTACGTTAGGACGAAGTTTCAATGAAGTCGTAGCAGTCTGGTACCATAACTCCGCATTTTTGAGACGCCTGGAAGCTACAGTTTTGGATCCAATAAAAAACAATTTATACCATGCAATGTGAGCTTTTTGCAAAGTCTGGTGGGAAAACGCTTGAAGGGAATCGTTAAAGTCCTGTTTTGCTGCCCTTGGACTTTGACGACCTCTGGAGGCCAGAGTTTCAATGCGGTGGACGATGTTTTGCACCATGGGAATGAACTCTTCGAAAAATACATTAGGGCGAAGTTTGAAGAAAATCGTGAAAGTGCGATGCTCGTTTGACCACGAATGCGAATATGAGCTGTCCTGAGACGCGTGTGCCCCTAAGACCTGGCAGAATCCTGGCACCCGGCCCACCCCCTAAACTCGTGGGCCACGAGTGGAGAAGGGTCAGCAGCGTATTTGGATTATGGTGCACTGACTTTTAAAGTAAGTGTGGCAGCAAGTAATTATTTTTTTCGTGATTCGGCACATTCTTTGATCAGGGAATCCACATACATGCAATACATTTTTGTCTTTAACAAAATCATGGTGTTTATCAAACTTCCTTGTACTGAAAAAATTCAGTTGGATCTTTCCTCGGCGCTTATCAGAAGTGCGAAACAGTGCACGCGACGCCAACCTCCAAACCAGCTTTCCACCTACGTTAGAGGCTAGATGGTTAAATCATCTGTAACAACAATTTTCTTTCTTGATGACCTTCCAGGAGATGAACACTTGAATAAATGCCACTAACTTCGAGAGCGCGAAAAATACATCCATACACTACGATATACTGACAGTGCTGCTCAGTCATTAACTCCTCACAACGGCAAGCGCGCGAAACTCCGCGAGCGATGAGGGCGCTGAGATTCATAAACACCGCCGACTGCGTCGCAGCGCAGATGCGCAACGGTCAGAACAGTCAACGGCAAAAATGCAAGGATAAGTCGACATTGCTGCCTGACGGGAAACTCCATCTCAAGCCAGGGTCAGTATCACAGTTTGTGCCATGTGCGATAAGTTCATTAGAAGAACAGGGAGGGCCACAAAGCCCTCCAGGATGGGACAAATGCTAATTGCGAATATGGGCCTTTTCAGCTCACAACTAGGCCTATGGCTTAGACAACAAAAGAAACTCATGGCTCGCCTAGCCAACATATAGGGCCCAGGCAAAGGCATGCCTTCCGGGCAAATGGGGATAACTCATGGAGAGCCTCGGAACAATTGAGAGTTCTCAGGGAGTAGACATATGCACACGGCAAGAGCGTAAGGTCACTGGGCAGCGTAATGCACTCCAAATCCCTGAAGCGACGACCTTCTCAACAACCCAAGAGCTCTCAACTCAACCTTCTCAGCCACCGAATTGCTGTCTACCCACGGGCCTCTCATCTTCTTTTGGGGCCGTTTCTGGACGACTGGAGGCGAGAAGATCATCATTTTGTTGCACTTTTTGTGAAAAATCTGTAGCCGCTTGGCCAGCGTAAGGCCCACTCAGAGCCCAAGGCAAGGAGGAGGGGAGGGGGGGGGGGGGGCTCGTGACCAGTACCCCTCTGGGTCCATCACTGGCTGGACGGCTCACCTGTCAGCAGGGAGAGCAGCACGGCGCAGAGCACGGGCGCCTGCGCTGCCGGCCCGTGCCGAGCCGCCGGCGCCGGCCGTGCTCTGGACGGACGACCCTCGCTCCGGCCAGGGCTCCTCCAGACAGACGTCATCATCCCAGGCCGGCCCAATGGGCCCGAAGCGAGCCGCGGCCACCAACAACAGCAGCACCGAGCGCTGCAACACAGGGGTAGACTGGTGAGTCGCTCGGGAAGGCGGAGCGCCGAACGCACGAACGCACTGGTGAGTTGCTCGGGAAGGCGGGGCGCCGAACGCACGAACGCACTGGTGAGTCGCTCGGGAAGGCGGAGCGCCGAACGCACGAACGCACTGGTGAGTCGCTCGGGAAGGCGAAGGGCCGAACGCAGGAGCGCACTGGTGAATCGCTCGGGAAGGCGGGGCGCCGAACGCACGAACGTACTGGTGAGTCGCTCGGGAAGGCGGAGCGCCGAACGCACGAACGCACTGGTGAGTCGCTCGGGAAGGCGGGGAGCCGAACGCACGAACGCACTGGTGAGTCGCTCGGGAAGGCGGAGGGCCAGATGTGAGTTCGGCGGGGATGTCGTCTGGTGCACTGTGTGTCATGGCGCCGACGGGTTTGGACGGCTGCTAACGAGATAGCGTTGGCCTCCCCAGCATCATTTGGCGATAGCCGGGGATATAAATGGTGTGATGAGTAATGTACGTAAATATTGCGTGCAAGCATGCGACCCAACCAACCAGATGTAAGTTGATACACCGATTTACTCGATGCATTTATTTGGGCTAAATATGGATAACATGCTTCATAGTTCAAATCCGCGTGTACTCAGCAGTTTAACCTAGATTCGACCCGCCAGAAATAATTATACGATTCCGGAGTTAGTCTGGATTATAGGCAGTTAAGCATGGATCGGACTGGATCGATGCAGTTGCGCCCATTTTACATCCTTTGTTCCACGAAGCGCAATTGCCAACTCGTGCAAACGCCCGGGCGCAGAATTCCATTCCTGCGTCTTTTCCCTCAGAGAATGCTGCATTTCAAAGTTAACGTGCGCATGCAAAAGGTAGCGATTAAAAGTTGACAGGTATTCGTCTATTTCAAAGTGCCATTAGCCATTTTTTACAAAGCGATCGACGCTTAAGCGTCTCCGCTATATCGGCTCCAAACGTTCGTATTGCCAATACCACTTGCCATGATTTGGCGACGCGAACTTAGATGAAGGCATTCGAGCACCGTTTTCAGATTCCGTCGATTGCGGAGATCTTTTAGTACACGGACTTGCGAGGTTATGGCCGCCAACGGCGCTATTTTGAACGATTAATCTGGCGTCTTCACAAGTTGCAAGAGAGCCCTGGACAACACAGACAGTAATGCGAAGCGATGCTTGTCAGAAGTGTCTGCGAGAGGAAGCGATAGATTTCCACGCAGGTAATCGAACTATGTCCTTGACGCCATCACTTCAGGCTCGGCGCCAGGGAAAAGCGAATACATATTTGAAAACTTTCATACCGAAAGAAAGGACTTTGCACGGCAATCGACATCAGACCTTTTCCGACATTCAGGCCAAACAAAAACAGGCAAGGATTCCTAGGCCTATGGATCTACGGTACTCCCAAGAGCTGTCCTCTCCTCGGTTTTGGGACACTTTTTACATTCTGAGAAGATCCAAATATTTTTTTTGGTGAATTGATGTCTAAGGCATGAAAGGTTCTCCGCCAAGCAAGGAAGAATAAACTGCACGTTGGGGAGTGAGCAGGGTTGGGGTTTGAGTCCGAGTTAGACCGAATAGCATGGGGTTGAGGTTTGAGTTTGAGTTAGACCGAATAGCATCATGCACCGCCATGTACAATGCCTGAAGTACCCACCTCACCGTACGCAACACCTGCAACACTAGGTGCGGATCCATGCCTACATTGCACGCGTGACGTATACATACGGGAGTGGCTGTCAACAGGGTGCCGCAAAAACAGCAAAATTCCACATCAAACCACTGTGGACACCACCAGATTGCATCTGCGCCTCCCCGAGCTACGGCACTACGCTGGCCAGCGCCGCACCGACTGCGCGACTCGAAGACGCATCCAAACCCGACTGTCTGCACTCGACACATGCAATCAGCTTAGGCGTTGAGCACCACGGCACGCTTTATGGAGATGACCTGCGGTGATTGCGCCGTCACAGTTGTCAGGTGATGAAGCTATCTTATTCCCAGCCGGCGTCATTCAGTACGCGACGCAGCGATCATATCATGCAGCCCGTAAAATCGCACCGCGCGCAGTTTCCATTAAAAAGTTTGTGACAGTCTGGAACCCTGCTGTCACATCACCTTCAAAGCTGCTGTAAAGATTTGCCTTTGCTGGCAACCATGGTCCGGCTTTGGCCCATTAAAAGTCGGTGCAGTTGGAAGATATTTTTATGTCTTACACCACAAGATCAATGTTTTAGTTGCCTATATATTTCAAAAGTTTCGCGTCGCTACACAGCACTATCTGGCATTGATAACAACTTTAGGGAGTTGAATTACTCATCATCCACTCGAGCGTATATTAAACCGGTAAACATTTACGGCGTCATTCATAGAAACCGTGTTCGTCCGTTTTCAGTTGTTATTCGACGTTTGGTGGTCGCTACACGTGAGCGGACATATTAGCCTATCATATATCACGTGTCAGGTGCCGGACTTTGCTAAACCGTGGGTACAATATTCCGCCTTGCGTAACACGCGCTCGGGTGGGGGTGGGGGTGGAGGCGATCTGACTGTCTCGAAATTTTTTCCGAAGTGATATCCGAACGGTGCAAATTTGGCATAGCTGTAGAAAATTGAATAACGAAACTTTTGGTGCGAATAAAATTAGATGTGCGTTGTAACGTCGCTGACCAACAGCGGGTCAAGGTCAGACCATATATTCACAGAGGACAATTGCTAGGAATCGTTCAATCTGACGCAACAGCAGAGTGTTAGACGAAGTCATACATGTCTGAGATAGTTCCTTGTAAAGCACAACAACTAACTTAACAAATTCGTTGACCTCGGATCCGTACGGGAGTCAGACAAAATTCAAAACCAACCTATTTTTTACTCGAGACCTTCCTGCGTCAGGTAGTTTCTGGAGCTTATTATGAATTTATTGATAGCAGAAACTGCATTATATATCTTCTATGGACTTCTTGGAGGTCAGAATAGGTCACTGGCCCAAAACAACCCAGGTCAACATTTTGTTTTAAGTAACATACCGACTTGTGTAATTATTGAGGTTATTCAAATGCAAGAATCCAAACAGCGTTGTCTGATTTTGGTCACCATAACCATCTAAAAGCCAAACAAGGTCACTGACCTTAAATGAACACCAATACCTTCTGCTTATAACTGGTATCTAGGTTCGCGGTGGTTGTATGTGAAGGTTGGAAGACACTATGGACACCAATGTAGCGTTTAACATTATTTGACCCAATGGTCATGACCTAGGAATTCAAAATTTTGACACAAGTGAGCTCACTGCAGACCAACACACTTTGTGAACTTCGTGTGTCTAACTTTCTTACTTTCTAAAATTTTAGTGGGTCAAACTGACCGCCCCATCCGAGCGAAGGTTATTCAGTCGGTTATCCGGTGCGTGTTAAAGGTGCCAGGATAACATGATAAAACTCACGCCGAGCAAACGGGACGCGGCTGACAATTTAGACGTTTCAAACGTGGCTGATGGTAGCAAATATCATTTCTAGATCCTGCCACGGAAACCCCGCAGTTCAAACGGATTGCAGACAAAGCTTCCGTGTCTGATGAAGCATGCTTCGGCATTAGTCTGCAGAAAAGATTCCCAGGCGACAAAAAGAAAATGGCGGAAGACTGGAAATGTATGCACAGAAGCAGCAAAGGTGGATGAGAAAAACAATGCTTGCATGTTTGATACAGGTGTTGTATTTTTGATATTTATGCATTAACGATGCATGCAACAAATACTTGGCTATTATATTATGATGGCGATGTAAAGACGAAAAGACGGTGGAACGAGGATCATGACCAATGTGCGTTTTTGTGATTTATAATCAGTGGTTAGTTAGCAGCTTCGGCTGCCATGTGGGGGCCACTTCGGCTGCCATGTGGGGGCCACTTCGGCTGCCATGTGGGGGCCACTTCGGCTGCCATGTGGGGGCCCGGGTTGTGCACTGACTTATGAATGCTAATGACGTCCTGCTATGCAAACTGCAACGCTAATGCTAACTGCAACCGCTGGCGCTCAACAATAGGGAGCGTGACGACGTGCATAACGCTCCCTTCATTAACTAATACTTCCCGTCTGCTAAGTACGTGAGCCATAAAAAAGAAGAAACGAAGGAATTATCAACCACGGGTCTTCATGCTCCATCATCAGCGTCGGTCTCTCTACATTTGAAACAACGCATTTGCCCCAGTTACTCAGGGTATTAGATCCGATCCATCGCGCTCACCATTTATTAAACGTGTGCAAAAACATACCAGCAAACCTCAGCGGTAGGCATCGGCCGGTCTTTTCACAAAGCGCACTGCATTCTCAAAAATAACCGCCATGACCGATTTTCCACGCCTTGATAACTGTCTAGGACGACAATAAAATATTTCAAGAGATACTATATAGCTCCACAGGGCACCTGTCATTTGAAATCAGCAGGAAATTGCCTTTTGGGAAGTCAGTTCTAAACAGCTTACCATAATAAAAATAAATGACACCTAAAATGCAATTCTCCTTCCGCATAAACATCAGCCTTTTCAACTCAGCAGACAAAGTGCCAGGAGCGCAGTTTGTTAACAAGCCCTGAAGTGCGCAGCGATCTCGGTGTTACAATCTCGTCGAACAGATCGTTTCTAAGTATGTGGCGTGCGAAGCATAAGCGTTCTGAGCACCCAACGTTACGAGGGCAGTAATGAAGCAGCTACGCGTTCTTTCGCCTTTTCTCTATGTCTTGTATTGCAGAGATATTCTCAGTCGCCGCGGCATGACATCTCTTGTCAAGATGCCATAGGCCTGACGGTGCTGCCTGATCGTCTGCAGGGCAGACTGCAGCTGATCTTCATCGTGTCGCCGATCGATGGCCGTTTGAAGAAATATGGTGGCCGTTTTCACTCTGCCCATGCGGCTGGCCGGCTGTTAT